AGTGAGTTCTGCTATAACGCGTGTTTTGATAACGCGAATTTGCTCTAACGCGATTTATGAATTAGGAACGATATTTGTATAACGCGAACGCTTGTTTGCTATAACGCGATTTTTGCTTACTATTTCTCCAATTTTGTGGTATTAACTGTGAATATAGTAAAGAAGAATATCAACAAGAAGCGTTCTGGTGATAGAATTCCCGGTGATGATCGTAAAAGAAAGGATATAACACTTGAAGAGAAGCTCGATTTTATCAACCTCAAAATCACCCTTCTCCCCCATCAAGTAAAGTGTTACATTTACTGTATGATTTCATTATTAGATATGAATGTAACATTTATTTAGACTGTGCTATCCTTTGTGTTAGGCTAACTACTAAATTTTTTCGATTTCGAGTAATCTGCACCTAACCCTATTTTCTCCATAAGCCCTGTTATTTCTATTACACGATTTTCTATAACACGATATTTTACAAGAACACAATTATCGCGTTATAGCAGAACTACCTGTATCCTAAATAAGTCAGTCTACCCGACATAACAGGAAGTTGTATTGTGTATAATATTTACTGTTGGTTCGACAAGTCTTTACAAATGCTAAAATAGATTATAACGGTGTATTGAAAGTTTATCTACTGATTACTGCAGGACTGAGGGAAGGACATGCAGTATTGTTTAGTAGTGAGGGAAGGACTTGTAGTGTTGTGTAGGACCTAGGGAAGGACATGTAGTGATGTTCGTAAATGAGGGAAGGACTTGCTGACCTCCTAATGAAAGAGATGAGAACTTACTGACCTGCTAATTAGTGAGAGGAGGACTTACTGACCTAAGGAGTGAGAGGAGAATTTGCACTGTTTTATAGGAGTGAGGGAAGGTCATGCAATGTTGTGTAGGATAAGGGAAGGATTTGCTGTGTGTGTGGGAGTGAGGGTAGGATGCAATGTGTTGTGTAGGATTGAGGGAATGACTTACTGAGTTTTGTAGGAGTGAAGGGAAGACATGCAGCGTTGTGTAGTATGAGGGAAGGACTCATTGTGATGTGTAGGAGTGAGGGAAGGTCTCGCTGTGATGTGTAGGAGTTTGAGAAGGACTCCCTGTGATGTGTAGGAGTGTGGAAAGGTCTCACTATGATGTGTAGGAGTGTGGGAAGGATTCACTGTGATGTGTAGGAGTGAGGGTAGGACTCACTGTGATGTGTAGGAGTGAGGGAAGGACTCGCTGTGATGTGTAGGAGTGAGGGAAGGACTCACTGTGATGTGTAGGAATGTGGGAAGGACTCACTGTGATGTGGAGGAGTGAGGGATGGACTCACTGTGATGTGTAGGAGTGTGGAAAGGTCTCTCTGTGATGTGTAGGAGTGTGGGAAGGACTCCCTGTGATCTGTAGGAGTGTGGAAAGGTCTCACTATGATGTGTAGGAGTATGGGAAGGACTCACTGTGATGTGTAGGAGTGTGGGAAGGACTCACTGTGATGTGTAGGAGTGTGGAAATGTCTCACTATGATGTGTAGGAGTGTGGGAAGGGCTCACTGTGATGTGTGGAGTGAGGAAGGTCTGCTGTGATGAGTATGTGAGTGTGGGAAGGACTCACTATGATGTGTAGGAGTGTGGGAAGGAGTCACTGTGATGTGTGGGAGTGTGAGAAGGACTCACTGAGGTGTAGGGGTGAGAAAGGACTCACTGTGATGTGTAGGTGTGTGGGGAAGGAGTCACGTTGATGCTTTGAGTGAGGGAAGGACTCACTGAGGTGTAGGAGTGAAGGAAGGACTCAGCTGTGATGTGTGAGAGAGGGAAGGACTCGCTGTGAGGTGTAGCAGTGAGCTAATGACTCAATGTGGGATGGAGTGAGGACTCACTGAGTTGTAGAGTGAGAAGGACTCACTGGGGTGTAGGGGTGAGGAAGTACTCTGTGAGGTGTAGGAGTGAGGGAAGGACTCACTGTGGGAGTAGAGAAGGTCTCAATGTGAGGTGTAGGGGTGAGGGAGGTCTCACTGTGAGGTGTAGGGAGTGAGGAAGTACTCACTGTGAGATGTGGGAATGGGGAAGTACTCTCTGTGAGGTGGGAGTGAGGGAGTACTCACTGTAGGGTGTAGGAGTGGGGAAGTACTCACTGTGAGGTGTAGGAGTGAAGTACTCTGTGAGTGTGGAGTGGGGGTACTCACTGTGATTTGTAGGAGTGGTACTCATTGTGAGGTGTAGGGTGAGGATGGGACTCTGTGGAAGGGTGAGATAAGGTCTCACTGTGGGTGTAGGGTGAGAAGAAGGTCTCACTGTGAGGTGTGGGGTGAGGGAAGTACTCACTGTGAGGTGTAGGAGTGAGAGTACTCACTGTGGGTGTAGGTGGGGAAGGACTCACTGTGTGAGGAGTGACAGAATGCTGTGGTGTGGGGTTGAAGGGTCTGTGAGGGTGGGGTGAGGGGGACATGGGGTGGGGAAGGACTCTCTGTGAGGGTGTGGGGTGAAGGGTCTCACTGTGAGGTGTGGGGTGAGGGACTCACTGTGTGGAGTGAGAGGGTCTCACTGTGAGGTGTGGGTGAGAGGTCTCACTGTGAGGTATAGGAGTTAGAGAGTACTCACTGTGAGGTGTGGAGTGGGGAAGGACTCACTGTGTGGGGGAGAGAAGGGGTCTCTGTGGGGTGAGGGTCTCTGTGGATTAGGAGTGAGAGAGGTTCACTGTGAGGTGAAAGAAGTGAAGTACTCACTGTGAGGTGAAGGTAGAGGCTATTCACTGGTGTGGGTGTGAAGTCCTCACTTGAGGTGTAGAGTGAAAGTACTCTCTTGAGGTGCAGGAGTGGGGAAGTCTCACTGTGTGGGTGTGAGAATACTCCTGTGAGGTGTGGGGTGGGGAAGGACTCAATGTGTGGGAGAGGGGTCTCTTCATGGGGTGTAGGGTGGGGAAACACTGTGTGGTGTGGGGTGAGGTACTCACTGTGAGGTGTGGGAGTGGGGAAGCACTCACTTGAGGTGTAGGGTGGGGAAGTACTCACTGTGGGTGTGGGGAAGAATCCTGTGAGGTGAAGGAGCAGGGTACTCACTGTGAGGTGGATGAGGAAGTACTCACTGTGATTTGTAGAAGTGAGGAAGTACTCTGTGGTGCAAGTGAGGAAGTACTCACTGTGTAGGGGTGAGGGAAGCACTGTGGTGTAGGAGTGGGGAAGTACTCACTGTGTGGGAAGTCTCACTGTGATTTGTAGAAGTTCAGGAAGTACTCACTGTGAGGGTGCAGGGTGAGGGAAGTACTCACTGTGAGGTGTAGGAGTGGGGAAGTACTCACTGTGAGGTGTGCAGGTGAGGGAATACCTTTGTAGGGTGAGGAAGGTCTCACTGTGAGGGTGGGGGAAGGATCTGTGAGGTTTAGGGAGGGAAACTTACTGTGTGGAGTGAGGAGGACTCCTGTGTGAGTGAGAGGATCTCATTGTGAGGTGTAGGAGTGGGGAAGTATTCATTCTGAGAGAGGGTGAGGAAGGACTCACTGTGTAGGAGTGAGAGAAGGTCTCACTGTGAGGTGTGGGTGAGGGAGTATTCACTGTGAGATGTAGGAGTGAGGTACTCACTGTGTGGGGTGAGGGAAGGACTCACTGTGTAGGAGTGAGAGAGAAGGTCTCAGTGTGGGGTGGGGAGAGAATTCTCACTGTCAGGTGTAGGGTGGGGATATTCTGCTGTGAGGTCAGGGACTCCTGTGTAGGAGTGCAGAAGGTCTCACTGGGATGTAGGGAGTGAGGAGGGTCTCACTGTGAGGTGTAGGGAGTGAATGAAAGGACTCACTGAGGTGTAGGGAGTGGGAAAGTACTCACTGTGAGTGTAGGGAGTGAGGGAAGTGCTCACTGTGAGGTGTGGGGTGAAGTACTGGGGTGGGGTGGGGAAGTACTCACTGTGGGGTGGGAGTGGGGAAGTACTCCTGTGATTTTTAGAAGTGGGAAGTACTCACTGTGAGGTGGGAGTGAAAGTACTCACTGGGGTGTAAGTGGGGAAGTACTCACTGTGGTGAACAGTGAGAAGTACTCACTGTGTGGGTGGGGAAGGACTCACTGTGAGGTGTAGGGGTGAGGAAGTACTCACTGTGTAGGAGTGGGGAAGGACTCACTGTGTGGGAGGAGAGAACATGTTTGTGAGGTGTAGGGTAGGGGAAGTATTCACTGTGTAGGGGTGTGAGGGAAGGACTCATGGTAGAGTGAGGGAAGGACTCTGTGTGGGAGTGAGAGAAAGGTCTCATTGTGAGGTGTAGGGTGGGGAAGTATTCACTGGAGTGTTGGGAGTGAAGTACTCCTGGGGAGTGAGGGAAGGATCACTGTGTAGGAGTGAGGGAAGGTCTCACTGTGAGGTGTAGGAGTGAATGAAGGGCTCACTGAGGGGTGTTGAGGTAGAAACTACTCACTGTGAGGTGTAGGAGGTGGGGAACTCACTCTGTAGGAGTGAGGAAGGTCTCACTGTGAGGTGTAGGGAGTGAGGAAGGACTCACTGTGGAGTGAAAGGTCTCATTGTGAGGTGTAGGAGTGAAAGGTCTCACTGTGTGGAGTGAGAAGGAGGTATCTGTGAGGTGGAGTGAGAGAAGGTCTCATTGTGAGGGTAGGAGTGAGAGAAGGTCTCACTGTGAGGTGCAGTGAGAGAAGGTCTCACTGTGGTGTTGGGTGGGGAAGGACTCACTGTAGTGTAGCAGTGAGCTATGACTAACTGTGAGGTGTAGGGTGAGGGAAGGACTCACTGAGGTGTGGGAGTGGGGAAGTACTCACTGTGAGGTGTAGAAGTGAGGAGGACTACTGTGAGATGAGGTCTCACTGTGAGGTGAAGGGTGAGGGAAGTACTCATTGTGAGGTGTGGGTGTGATACTCACTGTGAGGGTGTAGGGTGGGGAAGTACTCTCTGTGAGGTGCAGGGTGAAGTACTCACTGTGTAGGTGTGAAAGGCTCACTGCGGGGAGTGGAAAGGTCTCACTGTGAGGGTGTAGGGGAGGGAAGTACTCACTGCGTAGGAGTGAGAAGGTCTCACTGTGGTTGTAGGGTGAGGAAGTACTCACTGTGAGGGTGTGGGAGTGAATGAAGGACTCACTGAGGTGTAGAGTGAGGGAAGGACTTGTGAGGTGTAGGAGTGAGGGAAGGACTCACTGTGTAGGGAGTGAGAGAAGGCCACTGGGGTGTAGGAGGAGGAAGTACTCACTGGAGGTGTAGGGAGTGAGGGAAGTACTCACTGTGAGGCAGGAGTGAGGGACCCACTGTGAGGTGAAGGAGTGAGGGAAGTACTCACTGTGAGGTAGAGTGAGGGCACCACTGTGATTTGTAGAAGTGAGGGAAGCACTGTGAGTGCAAGAGTGTGGGAAGTACTCACTGTGTAGGGGTGAGGGAAGTACTCACTGTGAGGTGTAGAGTGAGGAAGTACTCAGAGGTGTAGGAGAGGAAGTACTTTTGTGAGGTGTGGAGGAGGAAGTACTACTGTGGTGTAGGAGTGAGGGAAGTACTACCTGATTTGTAGAAGTGAGGAAGTACTCACTGTGAGGCAGGAGTGAGGGAAGCACTCACTGTGTAGGGGTGAGGAAGTACTCACTGTGAGGTGTAGGAGTGAGGGAAGTACTCACTGCGGGAGGGGAGAGAAGGTCTCACTGTGAGGTGTAGGGAGGGAGGAAGTCACCACTGTGAGTGTAGGAGTGAATGAAGCACCACTGTCAGGTGTAGGAGTGAGGAATATTCACTGTCAGGTGTAGAGTGAGGGCACTCACTGTCAGGTGTGGAGTGAGGGAATTTCACTGTCAGGTGTAGGAGTGAGGGAAGTACTACTGTGTGGGAGTGAGGGAAGGACTCACTGTGTAGGGAGTGAGAGAAGGTCCACAGAGGTGTAGGAGTAGAGAAGGTCTACCAGGAGGTGTAGAGGAGGGAAGCACTGTAGAGGTAGGGAGTGAATGAAGTACTCACTGTCAGGTGTAGGAGTGAGGAAGTATCACTGTCAGTGTAGGAGGAGAAGTCTCACTGTCAGGTGGGGAGTGAGGAAGTACTACTGTGAAGTGTAGGAGTGAGGGAAGTACTACTGTGGATGAGGGGAAGACTCACTGTGTAGGAGTGAGAGAAGGTCTGAGAGGTGTAGGAGTGAGAGAAGGTCTCACTGTGAGGTAGGAGTGAGGGAAGTACCTACCAGAGGTAGGAGTGAGGGAAGGACTCACTGTAGAGTGAGAGAAGGTTCACTGTGAGATGTAGGATGAGGAAGGTTTCTACTGTGAGGTGTAGGGAGGGAATGAAGGACTCACTGAGGTGTGGGAGTGAGGGAAGTATTCACTGTGAGGTGTAGAGTGAGGGGTACTGTGTAGGGAGTGAGAGAAGGCTCTACTGTGAGGTAGGGAAGGACTCACTCTGGAGTGAGAGAAGGTCTCACTGTGAGGTAGGGAGTGAGGAAGGGACTCACTGTGTAGGGAGTGAGAGAAGGTCTCACTGTGAGGTGTAGGAATGAGAGAAACACTGTAGGTGTAGGGAGTGAGGAGGTCTCACTAGAGGTGTATGAGTGAGGAAGGTCTCACTGTGAGGTGTAGAGTGAATGAAGGACTTGCTGAGTAGGAGTGAGGAAGGTCTCACTATAGGGCAGTGAGTGAAGGACCATCAGAGGTGGCAGTGAGTGAAGGACTTTGAGGTGTTGGGAGGGAAGGACTCACTGTGAGTTGTGGGAGGGGACTGACTGGAGGTGTAAAGTGAAGGGCTTTGTCTCACCAATGATGCAGACTACTGGTGATGACGTCATTTCTCTTGTGGTCTGTTCACCATGACGTAGACTACTAGTGGTGACGTCACTGCTGTGGTCCATCAATGGAATGCCTAAGGTGACTTCAGCTCATAAAAACTTAAAAATGCAGAGAACTTGTGCCTGTACAAGCAAGTTGTAATAACAAGAACTAAAATTACAGTGGATTCTTTCAACTAGCATGATTAAGCCAGTGCAGCAAGAGTAAAATATTTCGTTATACAAGTGAAATAAACTGAAGTACAAAATAAGTCAACAATGTCATAACATTGTTGAGATTACGATATTTGTACAGTAGTTTCTCTTCATTTGTATAACACAATGTTACTCTAGCTAAAATAAAAAAGATGCCAGTTTAGAATTTACCTTAATATCCGTTATTTATTTATTACGTATTACTTGTAACCAATTTTTCTTCTGGACAAACTTTTGTAATTGTATATTGTTTTTGTTTTTTCAAATGTTACACATATTAAAATTAATTACAAGGCAGTGTATCTTCAGGGATAAGTGATGTTTGTGGCAACTTGGTGGTGTGTGAGGCTCTTAAGAGCTATCTGTGTCTGGGGAGGCTGATTGATTCTCCGCTAAGATCTACATGATGGTTCTAGGGGCTTATAAGTAACTAGTTGTGTACAGCTAGTAAGGGCTATGTGATTACACTAAAGGCTGTCTGTCACTGCTAGGGACAGTGATGCTGCCAAGGCTTGGTGCCGAGGCTTGTCTGAGCCCCTACTATAGAGATAGGCGAGACACGTCGACCAAGGTACACTGGTAGCCTTGCTTGGTCCAGGTTGGATCGCCTTTATGGACCCTGTGTACACAGGTTGTAGTACCATAAAGGCAACCTGACCTAGCAGTAACCTGGTGTCAATCATTACAATAAATATTTGTATCAATAACTTAGTGTATAAATAAATAAAAAAAATTCGTTGTTTATTATAATCCTAATAAAAAAGTTGAAAACAAAAGGGTTTCAAAGGCAAAAATGAAAAGAGCCAATTATTATACTTTCCCGAAAAGTAGAAAATCTAAGTCACCGAAAAGTAGATACTTACGATCTTTTGAGAATCCGAATTTACGAACTTTTTAATTATAGTAAGTTCGAACTTATGAGAAATAAAATGACACGATCTTTCTAATTGTCGTCAGTTCGGACTTAAGAGAAAAAATAACTTAAAAGTACTTAAGAGAAAAAAATATCTTACGATTTTTCTAATTCTCAAAAGATCGTAGTATCTCTTTTTCGGGAAATAGATAATCGACTTTTTGAGAAATATTACCTAATTTTCAGAAGTAGATTATCATAGAAAACGGGAAATTTGTATCATAGAAAATGGGAAATAATCTACTTTCCGGGAAAGTTGGTTATCTACTTTCCCGAAAAGTAGATTATCTACTTTTCAGGAAAGTAGATTATCGACTTTTCGGGAAGTAGATTATCGAATTTTTGGGAAATATTACCTAATTTTAAGTGAATTATCATAAGCAAGAGAATTTAACATCACAGAAAGCTGATATCCCTTTCCGCAGTTGGTTATATACTTTCCCGAAAAGTAGATTATCTGCTATTCAGGAAAGATTATCGACTTTTTTGGGAAGTAGATTATCGACTTTACGATATTACCTTATGCCAAAGTAGATTATCGCAAAACGTAGAAATTTGCATCATAGAAAATGGGAAATATCTACTTTCCGGGAAAGTTGGTTATCTACTTTCCCGAAAAGTAGATTTTTCTACTTTTCAGGAAAGTAGATTATCGACTTTTTTGGGAAGTAGATTATCGAATATTTGCGAAATATTACCTTATTTTCCGAAGTAGATTATCATAGAAAACGGGAAATTTGTATCACAGAAAATGGGAAATATCTACTTTCCGCGAAAGTTGGTTATCTACTTTCCCGAAAAGTAGATTATCTACTTTTCAGGAAAGTAGATTATCGACTTTTCGGGAAAGTAGATTATCGACTCTTTAGTAAAATATTACCTACTTTTAAGAAGTAGATTATCATAGAAAACGAGAAATTTGTATCACAGAAAATGGGAAATATCTACTTTCCGCGAAAGTTGGTTATCTACTTTCCCGAAAAGTAGATTATCTACTTTTCGGTAAAGTAGATTATCGACTTTTCGGGGAAGTAGATTATCGACTTTTTGCGAAATATTACCTTATTTTCCGAAGTAGATTATCATAGAAAACGGGAAATTTGTATCACAGAAAATGGGAAATATCTACTTTCCGCGAAAGTTGGTTATCTACTTTTCCGAAAAGTAGATTATCTACTTTTCTGGAAAGTAGATTATCGACTTTTCGGGGAAGTAGATTATCGACTTTTGAAATATTTCTACTTTTGCGAAGTAGATTATCATAGAAACGAAATTTGTATCATAAAATGGGGAAATATACTACTTTCCGGAAAGTTGGTTATCTACTTTCGAAAAGTAGATGAATTCTACTTTTCAGGAAAGTAGATTATCGACTTTTCGAAGTAGATTTTTCGAATTTGAAATATTGCCTTATTTTGCGAAGTAATTATCATAGAAAACGGGAAATTTGTATCACAAAATGGGAAATATCTACTTTCCGCGAAAGTTGGTTATCTATTTCCCGAAAAAAGAGATATTCTACTTTCGGGAAAGTAGATTATCGACTTTTCGGAAGTAGATTATCGACTTTTAGGAAATATTTCTACTTTTGCGAAGTAGATTATCATAGAAACGGGAAATTTGTAACAGAAAATGGGAAATATCTACTTTCGGGAAAGTTGGTTATCTACTTTCCCGAAAAAGTGATTATTCTTTTCAAGAAAAGTAGATTATCGACTTTTTTCGGGGAAGTAGATTATCGACTTTTGAAATATTTCCTACTTTTGCAAAATGAATTATCATAGAAACGGGAAATTTGTATCACAGAAAATGGAAATATCTACTTTCCGGGAAGTTGGTTATCTACTTTCGAAAAGTAGATTACTACTTTTCGGGAAAGTAGATTATCGACTTTTCGGGAAGTAGATTATTTCGAATTTTGGAAATATTTCTAATTTTCAAAATAGATTATCATAGAAACAGGAAATTGTGTATCAGAAAATTGGAAATATTCTACTTTCAGGAAAGTTGGTTATCTACTTTCGATGCAGATTACTTTCGGGAAAAGTAGATTATCGACTTTTAAGAGTAGATTTTTCGACTTTTGGAAATATTACATTTTAAGAAGTAGATTATCATAGAAAACGGAAATTTGTATCATAAAAATGGAAATATCTACTTTCGGAAAGTTGGTTATCTACTTTGGAAAGTAAATTATCTACTTTTAAGGAAAGAAGTAGATTATTTTTGAAGGTAGATTTTTCGAATTTTGGAAATATTATTTTTTGAAGTAGATTATCATAGAAACGTAAATTTGTATCGAAATGGGAAATATCACTTTCCGGGAAAGTTGGTTTGATCTACTTTGGGAAGAGGAATTATCTTTTCGGGTAATTTTCGAATTTTGGGGGAAATATTACCGTTACGAAGTAGATTATATGGAAACGGAAATTTGTATCATAAAAATGGGAAATATCTACTTTCCGGGAGTTGGTTATCTACTTTCTACTTTTCGGGAAAATGGAATTATCGACTTTTTCGAAGTGGATCATCGCTTTGCGAAATATTTCTAATTTTGCGAAAGTAGATTATCATAGAAAACGGGAAATTTGAAACATAAAAAATGAAATATCTACTTTCCGGGAAAGTTGGTTATCTACTTTCGAAAAGTGAATAAGATTCTACTTTTCGGGAAAGTAGATTATCGACTTTTCGAGGTAGTTTTCGAATTTTTGGGAGTAAATATTACTAATTTTGCAAATGAATT